TTACTAAAAGGTGTCAAAACTACCACTTCTGGGAAATCTGGGCCAGACTGAAGTTAGGAATAAACCATATGGAGATATTCTTATTGTATGACCATGGCAATGGTCAAAGATGGAGGAATAACTGCCATGGCACATGAGTTCCCCGCACTTGCTATTACATTCATTGGCTGCACTTCTCCCATACACCCAGTTATCTCCAAGGTCATAGAGACTGAAAGAAGAGACAATTGCTTGATCACATGATCAGAACAACTATTCCTACTTACATGACAGGGGAGTTGTTTGCAGTAGGATTGGTGTATATTTGGCTGCAAGAAGAGTAGGATGATTTTGCATCCCTGGTGAATCCTTCGAATCCACAGCTATCCAGGAGTCCTTTTATTGCCTCTTTGTTGGTAGGCATTTGACACGTCCACACACTAGCCAAGGAAGCCAAAATTCCTCTGGCTGACATTCTTCAAATTTATGTTCCATTTTTCAGAAAGGAAGAGAACCTTGAGTCCTTTTAGAGCTCTCTATGGTCGCCTAAAGAGGCAGTGATGAAATGAATTCCTTCTATGAGTGAGCATGGGGCTGGTATCTGAGTTCCCTTTTTCCATTCTTGAGATCCATTCCTGAACAAATTATCATTTCATCATGGTAGAGAGGTATTGATTCCAACCAGAATGTGTAGCATTGTTTGGGATTCTGCTCAGTGCCTGAAGCTCTCTGGGCTGGACCTCTTTCATGACAATGGCCAATATCATTTTTTTAATGGCCAAAATCTTGGCAAGCAGACAGCACTGTGTTTTCTGCCTCACTTGATTCTGACGTTCAAATCATCACTGAAGGAAGCTATCTCTATTATTTCATCTTCCACAGAATCTTTGATGATTTTAATTAGAACTCAATATTTTCTCCACTATATGATAAGAGGAGTCTTTCTCCTTAATACAAAAGATTGAATGAATGCAGTATTGGCATCTATGTTACTACTTCCCAGCCCCAACTAGACTGTGGTTAGGCAAGGGGTGGGGAACCTGTGGCCTCAAGGCCCTTCATAGAGCAAATCTCTTTAATAAAATAATTTGTTCTGTAAAATCTGGACTTAGTCAAAAGGCTGCACTGAAGGACCTAGAAGGCCACATGCGGCCTCAAGACCACAGGTTCCCCACCCTTGGGCTAGGCCATCCTGTGTTGGAGAACTGCTAAGCCTTCAGAAAACTATGTGGCAGCAACTGGTAGCCAGGGAGAATGAAAGCCAATCAATACTAGAAGACAAGGAAACAAGAAGCATTGGGAAATGCAGCAAGACTTAGTTTTTAACCCATAAGACAGAATTTTACTAGTAAACATTTTGTAGATCAGTATTGGCCCAAATGCAAGTAGTGTCTGATTTGTAGTCATATAAGATCACCAAAGGAATAACTTTATCAAAAAGATTTTTTATAGTTTAGTTTGGGAGTCACTGCAAAACACTTTTGATCTTCCCAAAGTCAAAGCTCCTCTACTCTTCCTGTTTAATTCTGAACCTCTATTACTGTGTATCAAATATATTTACACTAGATATACATATATATGTCTATATGTATATATATGTCTATGCATATATATAGATGTATACACATATATACATGCATGCACACATATATATGTACACACATATAACATACACACATATATACACACACACACACACACACACACATATATATATGTATACATATACATACAGAGAAAGAGAAAGAGACAGAGAGAACTGGATCAGTTTAATGGTCTGTCTATCCACCTGCATTTCATACTCTGGAGCAGGAGTTAGTAAACCATGGTCTAAATACCAAATCAGGCCCACTGCCTGTTTTTGTATAATAAATATGATAAACTTTATTTTTAAATGTAAAAACCATTCTTAGCTCATGGGCCATATGAAAACAGAGGTCAGATTTGACCTTTGGGGTAGAGTTTACCAGCCCTTGCTCAGGACAACAGGCAAATTATATCCACTTGGTTTTTCCTATTCAGATTGCTAGGCTGACATGTTTTGACTTGTGGCTCTCCATTATGAGCCTCTGTAACATTCCAGAGCTTGAAGCAATCACCTTCCTATCATCCACAAACAGGAGAATGTGGAGGACCTCATCATCTTTGGAGTAAGGAGCTCTGAGTAAGGAGCATATAGATCTCTGTTTTAAGCATCACTTGATACTGATAATCAGAAGATCACTGAAAGAAGTGATAATCTGTAATAAGATGTCCCATCTACTAAGATTGATTGTATGATTTTAAATTATGTAGAAGAGTGACGTTGCTGGATGAAAGCCCATCAGACTTTTACTCTACTGAATCAAATGCTTTTTCTACAGTCAACAAACCAGTATAGTAAGACTGGAATCTCTGCACCAGTCAGTCAACTAATTGTGAAGAAGAGTTCTGTTGTAGAATGCTCTTTGCAAATCTTGCCTCTTCTCTTTTCATATTTCAATCAATGAAACCCTGGATATGTGTTGAGATCACTCACATTGCCCCCTCTCCTCCACCCCCGCACTACAAAGAGGAAGGCTTGGGAGGATCGGAGGGTGGGGGCATCTGAGGATCTTTAATGTTGACACTTGGGTTAGTACTTATTGTTGCCCTGTTTATCTTTCTCTAGACATATCATCTGTGATTTTTTCCCTAATGATTTAGTATCTCCCCTGTTTTCAGATAGCTTGAGACTCAATCCCTCAATACTCTCAAAGTTATATCATCCCATTTCTAGATTTACTCTATATATTTGGTCTGCTTCAGTGATCTCTTGTATTTATTTTCTCCAGCGCCATTTCTCCAGCTTCATTTAGCACATCGTGAAAAGTACACAGAATTATCTCATAATAACAACTCACAAGTTTTATTAATTCTATTTTTGGTAGATGATAGAGTTGAGACTCAAGAGAGGCTGACTGACTTGCCCAGGGTAACACAGTTCATAAGCATCATAGCCAAGATGTGCTCAGAATCTAAGACCAGTGTAGTTTTGGACATATAATTTCAGTCATTTTTTAGTAGCATTTGATTTGTGGTGGTGTTGTTCAATCACTTCCATCATGTCTGATTCTTCATGACTCTGTTGGGGGCATTCTTGGCAAAGATATTACAGTGGCTTGCCATTTCCTTCTCCAGCTTATTTAACAGATGATGAAATTGAGGCCAACAGGGTTAAGTGACTTGTCCAGGGTAACATAGCTAGAAGTATCTGAGACTGGATTTAAACTCAGGAAAGAGGAATCTTCCTGACTCTGCAACTGGTAACTCTATCGATTCCCCCACTTAGCTGCCCTCTGATACATCATACTAAAGTCTTACAAGTTCAAGTACACATGAACAGATCAGCAGCTGACATAGGTATTCCAGGATACAGGATAACCAGAACACATCTAAACATTGCTTTGTCACTAGCAAACTTACAACAACAAACATTTATCTGTAAATGGGGCTTACAGTTATTAAGAGATGAGCTTACAAGAATTATCTAAAATAAAAAGTCAAATTACATGGACATTGACTTGAGTATGAGACAACATGGAAGAGTTTAAAGGGTCCCAGAACTATAGAAATGAGAGTTGTCATTGTTACTTTAATAATATCCACTATTTACTGATGTACACACACACACACACACACACACACACACACACACACACACACAAAGACTTATCATCTGCCTATCTAAGACCTATGTTAAGTGACTTGCTTAAAATCACAAAGGTAGTTAGTGAAGTAGCAGAATCAGGATTCAAACCAAGGTCCTGTGATTTAATCTAGTCCTCTTCTCACTGTACTGTATTGCATATAGGTCAGGCAGTTAGAAAGTAGCAGAAATTATGTTTGAACCCATGTCTTCTCATTCCAGACCCCATGTGCTTTCTATTAGCAAGTCTCTTCTTTTACAAATGAGGGAAGGGTGGCCCAGAGAGAAGCTAATTCTGCAGCATATGATATTTTATACAGCATTTTGCTTCTAACAATAAAGTAAGGTGTAGAGCGAAAGTCTGATCATCCTTTGTTTTACAGATAAGGAGGAATCAGGATAATGTAGGAGATCAGGGCAGGATGCAAAAACAGGAATCCCATAGCTCACATTTAATAAATGTTTATTAACTATTGAATATTTATGTGAGATTGACGTAAGAAGACAAGGGGAAAGAGGGTAAGTCTAGCATCATGAAGACTCTTACAAATACCAATTACAATGGTTCATATTAAAAAAAATACTTTTGTCAGAAGTTCTACTGCATAAGTCTAGAAAGGACTCTAAAAGGCATCTAATCTATTTCTCCCATGTTACAGACAAAAAAAAAAATTCTCAAACCTAGAGTCAGAAAGTAACTTGCCCAAAGTCACATGACAACACAGTGGCAGACGTGAAAACAGAGCATACATATCCTAGTCCATGTCCAGTGTTCTTTTCACTAGGGTATAGTGACTATACTATGTAGTCCTGATTTGAATGTTTCTCATGACAGAGTACTCACTACCACGCAATGCCACCCATCTTGGAACAGAACTCACAAATCCTGGTTCATGTCCAATGTTCTTTTGACTATACTACATAGCCCCTGTTGTAATACTTCTCACGATAGAAAATTCATTAGCAAATAATGCAGCTCATCTTTTGTTGGACTTGCCTAGGATCACTCAGCTGGTAGGTGTCCTCTGTGGCTACTTCTGGAAAATTCCCAGGACTGTTTTGATTCCCTGGGCTTGATGATAGAGGCAAAACAACACAGGTTTAATATATTTGTTTCAGTCTTCCCTCCCCCACCCTGCCCCTGCATCTCTTTCCTCCAAAGACAGGCTGCTGAGACAATAGCCTTAGCTGGATTAAGTGAGATGAACCACAGAAGCCTCTATCTCTGCCCAGGAGCCAGGATATCAAATATGATGAAAGCTAATTAGAATGAGTAAGTCACATCAGTGCCGGTAGGGAATACTTCTATTAGAGTCCCTGCAGATTAGAACCACGTGGGGTCATTAAATTTTACCTTGCTCTCCTTAGTATAGGCAACCACTTTATCCTCCTCTTTAGGATGGAAAATCAGAGTTTCAACAAAGAATGTGATGAGCTGTTTCTGAAAGGTGGTCCCTTCATCGGTGCTCAGGAAAAGGCTCTGGTCCCGGTCATTAAGAGATGAGCTTACGAGAATTATCTGAAACAGAAAGACAAATTATAGGGACATTGAGTTGACAAATTGTCACTAGTAATTGTATGATCTGTCAGTCTTTCACAGTATGATGGCTTCTTTCTGTAATCTCTGCCCACACACTAAGTTTTACTGAAATCTGTTGAAAATTACAGCACATATTGAAACCTTATGATGGCCACCATTTTGCTTCAAGATGGTAGAGGGATGTATGAGACAGACTTAAGCTGTAAGTTTGTGAAGTTTAGCACCACATAAATTTTCACCAGTTAACTAACTCCTTGAAAAGCTATTGCAGAGACTACCAGGAAGATGGATAGAAAAACAGAAAATGCCAACTTATCGAGTTGAAATAGAGATCTCCCTTGCTTGTGACACTCATGTACCATGTAAAAATAACTCAACGTTGCCTATATTAAGTAACAATATGATGCCTATACCAACAAGATTATATTTTTGACTTTCAGACAGGGTCTCTCTGTCTTCCTGGGTTAGAAGTATACTTGCATTTATATAGCACTTATAATGTGCCAGGGACTATGCTAAGCACTTTACAATTCTTATCCCACTTGATCCTCACAATAACACTGGCAGATAGGTTCTGTTATCATCTCTATTTTACAGATGAGGAAAGTGAGACAGAAAGAAGTTATGTGACTTGCCTACAGTCACACAGTTCTCATCTGAGGCCACATTTGAACTCAGGTCTTCCTGACTCCAGGTCCAATGCTCTAACCACTGTACCACCTCGATGCCCCACCTAATGGTCCTCATTGTAGCTTTGACTTGTTCTATTCCCAACCTGGACTGGTTTGTCCCTTCTTAGGCAGCCTGGTGGCTTCCCATTCCAAGGGGCCAAAGATAGTGGTGCTGAACTTTGGACTGACACCCAATTAATTTTAGCCTAACTTTGTCTCAGAACTCTTGAGCTCCAATGACCTGCAAGGCTCAGCCTCCCTGACTGTAGGGTTTTCAGGCATGTACCATCATGCCCTACCACTAACCAAACTTTCTTAAAATTGCTTATTTCTTTCAAAGACTCTTTGGATTGGAAGGGACCTCAAAGGTAACCTAGTACCCTTTCCTAAAATTTCCCCAGTGTCTCCCTATGGCATGGAGGAAGTCTCAGATCTTCAAAGTCCTTGACAACAGAGCCTAAACCCTGGCATTTCCTGAAGAGCTGGGAAGGCTTCCAACACAGGGTCAGCAGTTGGATTATGTTTCCGTCACCCAAGGACCAGTCTGGCTACATTAAGGAAAACTAACAAGAAGAAAGATGACCACAAGGGGATGATAGTGATGATTTCTTTCAGCTGTACCAACTCTTAAAGACCATTTTGTGAAGGTCTGCAGTCCAGTTAGGGGAGGGAGCACCCACAGTAGAGAAATCACAAATTTATTGATCTATTGATGCAAGTTATTAGAAACTATCAGGGCTGGTGGTTACACAGCACATTCAAGTTGGCAAAGTGCTATAATAGACTAGCTCATTTGAGACTAATAAAAACCCTATGCGGTAATTACCATAGGCATCATTATCTCAATATTTTACAACTGAGAAAAGTGAGATTCCTTTTAAGTATGCATAGATAAGAAGAAATGAAGAAGTGGAGGGAAGAGGAAGAGGAGAGGGGTAGAAAGAAACATTAAGCATCCACTATATTCCAGGCACTTTAGAGATATCTCATTTAATCCTAAAATGAGCCTGAGAGATGATGCTATTATTATCTGCATTTTATGGTTGAGGAAACTGAGGCAAACAGAAATTAAGTGGTTTGATAAAGACCACATAGCTAATAAATGCCTGAGGCTGGATTTGAACTGATGTCTACCTGACTCTAGGCACAGTGCTCCATGTACCTTGTCACTTATCTGCCTTGCCATTGTTCACATAAAGAAATGACGTGTGGTATAGCAGATAGAGAACAGGCTTCAGAGTCAGGAAGACCTGAGTTCAACCCTACATGAAATAAATTACTTGTGGCAAGTTGTTTAACCTCAGTACCCCAGCTAGCTCTTAACCCTAGAGAAGGGACAGATCCATATTGGTAGACGTAGATGAAGTTCTTCATGGGGAGCTCCTCACATGTGAAATCACTGACTACATATAGTCACATGGTCCTAAATTATTTGAACCCATGTCTTCCTGAGTGCAGAGCAGGCACTATCCTTTTTTACCATGCAGTCACAAAGGCTCCATCAGCCTCAAGTTCTGTGGATATGAATTCCCAAGAGCTTTTCTAAAAGTCTTTTTCCTGCATGGAGAGACAGAAGATAAAGAAGAGGCCAGGGCACTATGACCTGGAATAGGAAACCAAGCCATATAAGTAATATGTCCCTTCAGGAACTCAATTGGCTCAGACCAAAAGGTTTGTGTGAGAAATCAGTTACCAAAACCAACATGGTTCACACTTGGGAATGGCAAGAATAGACTTGAAAGCAGAGGACCTGGGGAAAAATATCAGTTGTGCTATTTACTAGCTGGGTGACCTTGGACAAAGGACTTTACCACTCTGGATCTCATCTTAGAAGGAAGGGGTTTGATGATGACTTCTGGAGGCAGCTACGTATTTCAGTGGATAGACTGCGGGACTTGAAATCAATGAGTTTTGAGTTCAAATGCTACCTCACACACATACTAGCTATGTGACCCTGTGCAAGTCACCTATCCTGTCTGTGTTGAGTTTGTTCATTTGTGAAATGGGGACAATAATAACACCTATCTCCCAGAGTTGTGGTGATCAAATGGATTTGGAAAGCTCAATGCAAACCTTAAAGCAATATACGAAGGTTATTATTATTACTTATTATTATTACTGTCATTGTCCCTTCCAGCTCTAAATCCTATGATTACTACAAGCATTTCAAAAAGATAGGGTCATGAGAACACTTTGTAAATCACTTGCCTCAAAACAATCTTGTGAAGCAAATAACCCAAGGATTATCATTCCCATTTTAGAGATGAAGAAATGGAGGTGCCGGATGATTATTTGCCTCACCCACCATTACAGGGGCAGTTAGGACTCAGATCTCAATTGTCTAAGTCCCCTCTTTTTTCCTGTACAGATGTCCTTCCTGTATTCTCCACCATGCCTCCCTGGTTCTTCCTCTGTCCTACCTGAAATTGTCCTTGGGTAATGAAGGGGGGAGGAAGAAAGGATTTATTAGCTCCTCTGTAAAGGGAAACATCTGAAACACAAAAGTAGGTTCATCAAGAGAAGGAATTAGCTTTAAAGGGGCAAAATGAGAGTTAGAAAAAAAGGAATTAAAAATAAAAAGGGGGGCAGAGGAATTCCATGAAATGAAATTTACAAACATAGGACGGCGTTTGATGATTATGATGGAAAAGAAGTAAAAGGAAAAGAAAAAAATTAAATGATTCGTGATCTGATTCTTCCACTTAAAGTGTTACTTATAAGAGGGAAAAATGTCAGATCCTGGCTGGGTGCCTGGGAGGTGTCCCTTTTTTGGATAAGACAGAGCAAGACTTCAAAAATTGATGGTTACAGGTCAGTTCTAATTGCCTCTGACCATGTCGCATCCTATACTCTTTACATCTCCCTTACCTATGACACAACATAAAACGGTCTAATGTAAAACACAGAATATCAGAGCTGGGTGCAACCTCAGAAGATGGATCACAGAGTGTCAGAACTGTAAGGGACCTTCTAACATTGAACATAGAATGTGAGAGAGGGAATGAGCCTTTGATGTCATATAATTTAATCCCTTCCTTTTTTAGATGAGGAAACTGAGACCCAGAAAGAGAAAATTAGAGGCAGAGTGAGTTAGTGTAACCTGACTCTCTGAATTTCCTTTGTAGCCTGATACTCTCTGTTTCCTTCATTGATCTTACTTCATTAGTATCTTTACCTGGGATCAATTGCCCTCTCTTTTCTAGATACTCTTATGGTCATTCTCAGATCTGATAGCTCCTTATTTTCTGCTTTGCAACCGAGTACCTCTGTCCCCTAAAATGTACCTGTGGTAGGATTGAATGGACTGATCATTAGCCAGACTCCTTGGTAAACATCATTGATTTTGGTCAAACCAATGGGAACTTGGTAAGCCTATGGGGTCTAAGATCATTGAGGTTACTTTTTGTATTACGGAATCCTTTACCACTCTATTAAAGTTTATGAACTCCTCAGAAAAAAAAAAGTTTCTTTTTTAAAAAAAATCATAACTGAAAGAAATTCTATGCAGGGCAATGAAAGTAAAAATGTATTTTTTTCCCAATTCAAATCCATAGAGCCTCTGAAATCTATCAATTGGAAGGGTCCCTGGACCCTAAGTCAAGAACCCCTTCAGAGGCACTTGTCACTGGCTCTCATCCACTGCCTAGTGAGGTTCTGTGATGTAAAGAAGGTGTAATGGAAGAGTCAAAAGGTCTTGATTTCACATCCTAATTCTGTTGCATACTAACTAGGTGTACCAAACAAGTAATTTCCTCTGAGACCCAGTTTGTCCTTCATAAAACGGGATTTTTTTTTTGTTCAGTTGTTTCATTTGTTTCCGATTCTTTATAATTCCGTTTGGGGTTTTCTTAGCAAAGATGCTCGAGTGGTTTGCCATTTCCTTCTCCTACTCATTTTACAGATGAAGAAAGTGAGGCAAACAAGATTAAGTAACTTGCCCAGGGTCACACAGCTGGTAAGTGTCTGAAGCCAGATTTGAACTTAGGAAGATAAGTCTTCCTGACTTCAGGCCCAGCACTCTATCCACCTAGCTAGATAGAATGGACCTATCTACACCACCTAGCTGCCCTAAAATGGGAGATGGACTAATATATCTATGTATCAATTATATAGACATAAACTATATATTGATATATAGGATGCATATAGGTATATACACATATATACCTTTATTAAAATTAAAAGGTTAGGGCATATCAATAAATAGAAATATAAATACACACATGCTAACCCTTTTCACTATATAATTATAAGGAAAGCCCCTCTTATACTCAGCCCATAGTGAAATGTTAGCTCTTGTCATATGGC